GATAATGCCTCTTGACGTTATCAAATAATTTCTCTCTCGGAAGAACTGGTCGATGCCATTTATTTTTGACTCGAAACATACTGATATTTTGAAGATGGACTGATATTTTGAAGATGGACTGATATTTTGAATATTGAAGTTTATTTTGCAAGATAGACTTGATTGATTCAAGATAGACTGATGTTTTCAAGATGGACTGATATTTTGAAGATGGACTGATTTATTCAAGAAAGACTGATTGATTCAAGCTAGACTGATGTTTTCAAGACTGATTGATTCAAGATAAACTGATGTTTTCAAGATGGACTGATTTATTCAAGATAGACTGATTTATTCAAGATGGACTGATGTCTTCATAATGGACCGATGTTTGCATAATGGACTGATATTTCAAGATGGAATGATTTATTCAAGATAGACTGATGAATTCCAGATGGATCTTTTAAGTTAACATTATATTCATCATGGCCAGATTTACTCGTAAAGGACAGATTTATTTAAGGGACTGATGGTCTATAAATTTGAAGGCATCCGAATTCACGGTCATTTTCAATATATTATGCTTATCGAGCAAAGATCTGACCTAATTAAATCAGTCATTAGTTTAGTCAATCAAATAGTTCTTGCTGATAGGCCGGACTATTTCTCGACCCATTATTATAAAGTCCGTAATTTGAAAAATTCAAGTGATTGACCTTTTCAAATTACAAACTTCATAATAACTTACGGCCTGAAGTCTGAACGTCTAGAGGGCCACGGAAACAGTGTTTTGCTCCAAAGAATAAACTATACGCTGCTGCTAGACAGTATTACATCGATAACCATCTTCTTCCCAAGGCTCATTCATTCATTGTCTTCTTTGCACTCAATATACTGATGCACATAACATTGCTCTAATTCACAACTTCATCCAGAGATTTGAACTTGTTGTTATTAACGCTATAAATGGGTTTTATTTTCTCGTACCAATAAATCAATGTCTTCACATTAAATTCTAATATAGGGTGTGATGTCTAACCCATTAAAATCAGAATAACGATGATAAAATAATATTATTTAAGTTCAAATCCACAATCTATATTGAATTTAAGCTTTACTAAAATAAGTATTTCGGAGTTTTTATCTGATACAACACTACTGCTGGTTTTGTCACCTCTAGATCGTATACGAAATTTAGAACAATTTTTGTAATCCTGTTTGTTCTAGTGAAGACAGGTGAAGCCAAAAAGGGCAAAATGGGGAAAGATATCTAAAAAAATGAACAGCGGGTAACAAAAGGGAGTATTTATTCGTCATCCCAACGGCTGGACGCTATTTTTATGCCGGCCATAAGCGATAATGGCAGGAAAACCGTTGAACAAACTTTCCTACTATTTCGATCTACGTCGAGGTAAAGCCTCAAACCTACATATTATCGAGCAAGACTCTTTGAGCAACCGATACACGATAATATATGCTTACTGTTTTTAAAAACGTGAAAGCAACAGTGGCTCAACTACCATAGGGACTGACTGAATTCAAAGCAATAGAAATTAGAAATAGAATCAACCACAGACTGAGCATTTTCAATTCTTCCATTAACAGACATTAAAAGGGTCTCAGAATGCAGGACAGCATATGATAAAAATTATAGTTGAACCACTGGGAAGTAAATCGTACTGCTAAGGATCATGATATGGCATCAATTATTTTAATAACGCTCCTTATCTGATACAAGAACCTCTTTTCTTCCATTAAACCGTCTGATAGCCTCATTACGGCCTATTCATAAAGTCTGTAATAATTAGTGTTGTAGGCTTATAGACGGGCACGGGTATGTTAGATTGTCAGTCATGAAATATATTTTATAGAGTTTAGTAGACCATGCTAATATACTGAATATATTGACTCGAGGAAAAGAATTCCGAATCAGAAATCGGTCAAATAGGCTTGTCATAGGAAGAACAGATGGTGACTAGTGCACTGCACATGTAAACTAATACCACAGATTTACACTAGTATCCAATTTGTAAACTAGTACCTCAGATGGTTACTAGTTACCAATATGTAAACCAGTACCACAGATGATGACTTGTACCCCACGTGGTTAATAATGACCCACATGTAAACTAATACCACACATGGTCACTAGTGCCCCGCATGTAACTAGGACCATATATGTAAACTAGTAAAACAGTTGGTGACTTGTACCTAAAATGTAAACTAGTACCTCAGATTTTTACTAGTATCCCACATGTTAACTAGTACCACAGATGTAAACTAGTATCAAAGATGTAACCCGCATGTAATGTAGTATCACAGATGGTCACTTGTACCCCACATCTAGTACCTCAAATTTTTACTATTAGCCCACATGTAAACTAGTAAAACAGGTGGTCACTTGTGCCCCCCATGTAACTAGGACCATATATGTAAACTAGGAAAACAGTTGGTGACTTGTACCTAAAATGTAAACTAGTATCTCAGATTTTTACTAGTATCCCACATGTAAACTAGTACCACAGGTGTAAACTATTAGCCCACATGTAAACTAGTAAAACAGATGGTCACATGTGCCCCCCATGTAACTAGGACCATATATGTAAACTAGTAAAACAGTTGGTGACTTGTACCCCACATGTAAACTAGCACCTCAGATTGTTAAACTTGTACCTAAGATGGTTCCAAAAACCCAAATAGTATACTAGTACCTCAGATGTTTACTAGTAACCCATATGTAAACTAATACCTCAGATGTAAACTAGTACCCTACATGTACAGTAGTACCATATATGGTCTCTGAAGTACAACTCATGTAAACTAGCACCCAAGATATTCACTTGTGCCTTAATGTAGACTAGTACCTCAATTGGTCAGTAGTACCACAATTGGTCACTAGCACCAAAATTGGACACTGCAACCAATAGTGGGCACCAGTATCATATTATGTAAACTAGTATCACAGATGGTCACTCTCGTGTAAATTAGAAAGCTCATATTAGTAATAATATGATAGAACTAGCAACCAAAACAATGTATCCTATGTTTTGGTATTGTACCCCGACCACTTTTAATATTTAAATTGATCTATATTCAAATGATTGTTCTACTTATTAAAATATAAAAGAAATGAGTGAATTAACAATTCACAAATATTGCCTTGTTTCAATTAGACTCACCAGGAAGCTTTCTCTATGGTTTCAGGAAGGGAAAACCATTCAATAAACAATAATGTTGTTTCAAGGAAAATGATTGGACTTCGATAAGCTATACAAGTACTCGATATAGCTTCATTCGTTGAGAATTGTTTCTTCAGGCTAAGATTGTTTAACACTAATGGTCTTTGGAATGGAATTCGCTGACCTGTAAAATTCATTGTAAATTTAGTCACTATTTCTAGTCACTGTTATTGTAACTATTAGTTTCCAAGTAGCACTAAAATCTAAGAAGAGGTTAAGATAGTGTCTTAGAACTAGCTTGTCTAAGAACTAAATAAAACCTTGTGATTGTAATGCTTTATATTTATAAAAAGAGCTAATCGTTTAATTCGAAGTACATGGATTGTACTAGAAACACTCTATACTTCATGATTGTGAAGAATTTTTCAATTCATTATTTTTGATAAAAGAGTTGAATGGTTAGTTTTCACGGACAGAACAACACTGTTTTCGTGCGATTTCTGAATTGCTCCATGCTCATAAGACTTGCCAACTTAACGTGATGAAAATTATTACCATTTGCTGCTAACCTATGATCAGTTCATAATCGGTTTGGGATTTACTATAGATAGCTATATTGCTTGTATTGAATAATTGTGGAAGTAAAGCCGTACTTGTATATGAATTTGTTATTGATGCTCTGAACTCCTGATTAAGGTTTGATCAACGTATCCTAAAAAGGGTCACTTGAAAGATAGCTGACAGTTGTAATTAAAGGCATTATCAAATCAGTCTGTCATTGATGTTCTTATACCAGTCGATGTATATAGTTAATTAAATCAGTCTATACTATATTTAGATTGCCTGTATTCATTGTAACTTGAGATTAAATATAGCACGTATTAATGAAATGTTCTCTATTACTTCTAATCTTTAATAGAAGAGGAAGAATCGTTTATCCAGAGCACGTGTAGGATTTGATGATACGTCATAAAGAAACCAATTGATATTGACCTATTTCGTAGCATCGCTATGGCTGCTTCTGAATAGTTCTTACAATATAATTATAAATTTTCAGATTACATTCTTTCATTGTTCAACAATAGAAGGGATTTTGTTCAAGGATATTTAATTTTTTTTTATGTTAAACTTCTTTTGGTTTTGTTGATATTGTGAAATCATTTTGGTTTTTTACCTTTGGTTCTTGATTATGGGGAGTACTTCTTATGTTAAGAACTTCTTTGAGTAATACATTTTTTTCAAAAACACCTAAAGGGATTGTAAAGAGTTTTTTTTTTAAATTATGTGTATCTGGGACACTTATAGCACCAATTTGCAACATTCCAATTTTCAATAAGACATCTCAAACTAAGTATTTTATCGCAAGGGACCCTATGTGAAAAAGCATATTTTGCAATTAGTGATGTCATTACTATTTTAAAGCTGCTGTTCCAGTTCACATAAAAATAATCGTTAAAATTTGATTTACCGAAGAGAGTAGGTTAAAAAATGATTCCAATTACAAATGGTTATTAAAGTTCCTAATGCATATTTGTACAACAAGTCATTTTCGTAACATCACTAACCCGAAATTAGTGGTCCTGGTGGAATCCTATATAAGCCAAATTCATTATAATTACCGTTATCCCGAGTTATTGACGTAACTTCATACTGAGTTAATGGTAAGATATAGCGGCCAATTGATTAAACAGAATTGTGCTTTTCATTTTTTCAGACTTGGGAATAGATGAACTTTAATGAAAGTTAACTGATTGTATTGGTTGTGATGAGATGATAAATGACAGCCAAATGAGTAAATTGGCTCAATAAAACAGGCAATCACTATCCTGGACCAGGGAAACAATGCCGTTACCAGCTTTCATCATGAAGTGTAACGTATATTATTTAACTGTGGTAACATTTGTTTGTGGAAGTATCACTATCGTAGCACTGTCGCTATCAGTGGGCACTGACTATTGGTTACTGACTAGAGAACTTATGTTAGAAGCTCGTTATGAGAATAATACAATAATAGAAGGTGTCCCTAAAATGTGGTTTTCAACGAGGAGCGGTTTATGGAAAGTGTGTGTTATAACAGAAATTCCTGGCCAAGGTAACTATTGCAATTATCTTCATATAGTATTGTGTATGGACATATGCAGCTCTTAGTTGAGTGAGGGCCTATGGACTTGGCCTCTCGCCGCCCGGGAAAAGGTTTGCCCTCCTGCGTCCTGAAACTCCTCTGTAAATCGGGGACTCATGGATTCTGTTCAACCAGTCCCCATGGTAGTTGAACCACTGCCTGTGCATGCGGTAGCCAGGTTGTTTGATTCCCTGGATAATGCCAGCAAGAACATAGTTTATATCGTATTCACACATCAGTGCCCGGGCGTGTTGTTGTTGGCAAGTAAATGTCGGTGCATTCGCTTTTTAAAGTAGTTAAATTGTCTGTTTTTAAATCACACTCCAATTGCTCTTCTGTGATAAAAAGTATTTTTGATATGTTATAATCAATAATTTTTCAGCTGAAGTCTCTACATTTTGTTTACCGATATATTTCAATGCTGAAAACGTTGGTCGGCAATTAGATGAATATACATCTATGATTATCGTTGGTAAGCTATTGATCTTTATAGATAATTTCCATTATTTTCCGGTGAAATGACAGTCACTTACTCTGACTGATTGACTAATGATCCGAATAAATGACAATCACCATCGACATGATAGAAATCAAAATGAACGCCAGACTACCATCGTTACGGTTACAGATATAATATCATAATGTATGAGAATTGCACCCACTTTTTGGATCGCTAGTTTTTGAGAATTTTCACCATGTTAAAAGCCAAATTTCGAATAAAATTTTTTATTCGTGCTGATGTAAATTTAATATGATCCTCACATAAACTGATCTTTGAGTACTGATCTATATCTCCCTCTGACAATACGATATCTCATTTAATGTAGTTAGTTTTAAAATGGAAACTCGCCAAGAGTAATGGTGTCTCGAAGCTATATATTTTTAACTTAAATTTATTGTCCCATACTCAAATCACTGCATTCGTCAATAGAGCAGAAAATGTTAACTGAGATAGAAGGCTTAAATCAGACAGATATGGGAAAATGTAATCGTTAAACATTGTATTCTACAGGCCACACGAAACTTGTAAATGACACAAATTTGTGTCAAGTAACATGCTATTAAAAATGCGTTATCGACAATGTAGATAGTGCATAATATTGCGTGAGCTCACGAAGAGAAAATTTAAACTAGAGTTTGAAAAATTCCCTGCACTCTACTTAATTGATATCAACATTTTAACAAATTCCTTAATGCTTGTTATGTTAGTTCACAAATAAGAAATCTTCCGTAATTCACCTTTTAAACTCGTTCACATCAGTTATCCATAATTCATGGTTGGATATGTAGTCGAAATCGGTCTGGCTGATAGACAATTAAGGTTTTCATTTACTTGCCCTAATATCCTTGTGGGACAGGAGCAATGCAATGCAATGAAATTCAGAGGAGCACGAATCAAGACAAATCAGAAACAGTCTGTTATTTCTTGTAAATTATCTTTTCAGCCTCTATCAGAAAAGCAGTACCATTACCAGTAGTGGCGTTAATATTATGTGTAATTGGTTTTATTTTAAATGTAGTTGGTAGTATACATTCTGATGTTAAAACGTTAGCAGCTGCTATTTGTTATGTTTTAACTGGTAAGATAATATTTTTCATATTCCCTATACACCAAAGAAGGTGATAACCCTTCGACAGGCTGTGCTCAATACAAGAAACATGGTTGGTTGGTAGTTGACAAGTTAACGCGAGCTTCCAGCAGATGCCGATTTTGCAGACCAGGAAGTTACTGATAGTCGAAATAGTTGGTAGTTGGATCGGGATAATTGTGATGAGTCGGTACTGTCTGTTTGAGGAGTTGGGAGGATCTAGTCAGGTCGATTGACATGGCGGTGATACTCTGTCCTATGTGGTGTGACATGAGCTACGCGGTCTTTTTCCTTCTTCAAGGAACATTTGCATTTCTTAAAAAATGAAACTCTACTGTACCCTTTTTCTCAATCTTTGAAAGTTCCCAATAATTGTTGTCAAATTGCACACCTATTTTTACCTACTTTCTCTCTTGAGATATTGGGAATTATGAAATTATATTATAAGTGAAGTTCAGATGGTCTTACCGTGTCATGTCGTGACGTTTATGTATTTTGACAAAGAACTGTTGTTGACATCAAATATATAACTGATGGGAGGCGAATCATATATTATTAAAACACAAACGTTATCTAAAAATGCATACAGATTTCTTTCAGCACTCGCTAAATTCTGCTTTTTCCGACTATGTCACAATTGTACATAATATATTCATTTTAAGGAATAAAATGTGAAGATTAAGAGTGAAAATTAAATGTATACATTAAAGGACCAGTATGCACAATTTTTATTATCAAAAACGTCGTAAATTTTATCTGTAAAATAGTCTCTTTACTTGATCAAACTGGATTTGTTTTAAAAGGGTAAATATCACACCGTTAAAGATCGTTAAAGAGATTCAAGAGATTGTCTATCCATTGTATTTGATATAGGTGGCCCAAATATATTCAGATGGTCTCTATGCGGCAGAGACGATATGCACTGTATTAATGGTTGTTTTGGTCATCTTAACGGATCGATCACTAAAATTGGTCCTCAGCCAATCCAATATCTGTATTTCTTAATATCTGGATTTTATAGTAGTTCATGTTTGTTAAGCCAGACCCTGGTCAAATATTTCTGAAATTATAGGAACCAATGACTTTAGATTTGAAATTGGAATGGTGTATAAACTACCTGTTATCAGTGACATCCAAAGTCTAGAAAACCTCGTTTAAGCCACCAAAGCTTTTTCGATCACCGTTGACGTCATATTATCAATAATATTTGCATGGGAGTATCGGAGTTTAAACGATATCAGACTGTCGTTACTAACCTTCCTGTGGTTAATTTTCATTAAATTGGTCTATATTTTACCAAATATTGAATATAATAACCAACTTTTTGTCAATTTCAATTGATACAGTATGACCCTAAATAGCATAAAATTTAAACATATTACTTTGAAATCCGTTTAATGGGATTGTAAAGAGGTTTTCTAAAAAATGTTATGTGTATCTGGGACACTGATATCATCAATTTGCACCATTGTAATTTTCAATCAGACGTATGGTTCCTGCAATATCACTTAAACTAAGTGTTTGATGACGCCACTATTCAATTGTCTTGTGTGATAAAGCATATTTTGCGATTAGTGACATCATCCAACACTTAGTTTACAAATGATGCAAATTGAAGCTATCAGTGTCCCCGATATACATAAATAAAGTTATGAAACCTCTTTACAATCCCTTTAATAGGTTTACTCCTTTCCTTTTGATCTTAATAATCCACAAAATAGACTTTTGTCTAGTTTATGCAAATTCTACACTCAAATCAGATTAGTTAAAAATCCAATTTCAAAACGATTTTCCTTTTGACTTCAGACTAACGGCTATCTGTATAAGAAGGCCCATAAGACATGTAAATAGGTTTTCAAGTCTAATTTGAAATTCAACACTTTGGTATTCAGGGAAAATAAAACATTCAGTCATGCTTAATTGGAAGCTGAGAAAATTTAAGATGGCGTCTCGAATCAATCAGTGTGCTTTTCTTTGCTCAATTACATGTAATTTATCATTTGATAAGACTGGTTTGTCAAGCAGTAGAGGAAGGTCTGTATCAATGTAATTTGATAGTGAGAAGTGATTGATAGGATACACAATACAGGTTCCGTAGCGAACTATTCAACTTTCTATATCCTTCAGACTCAATTTCACCGCTTAATTTAATTCACTTTTTAAAAAAAATACGTGATACTTGGTCGAATATTCATCCGATATATTTTCATCTTATTCAACAGCCGCTTCCGCAACAGTTTTTGGTAACCGGAACTGGGCAGTGCCTAGATAAAAACTGTAGCCAATATTGTGTTCACAAGCCAATAATTGTGGGCCGACGGACGCACGGATAGACAGGGGCGCCGACGATATACGACCACATTGGGCGTATAACAATCGGCGCCAGGAAAAAACGCCGACAAAAATCAAACTGGTTTCAGAATCCTGTCGGCAACACGATGATCTTCTCCTGAAAGCGTGGGCACACTCTAGATTTTAACCAAAATTACCGTCGTCGACTAAATCGTTCGTGTGCCTTCACCATTAAATAACGATGTCTTATCGCACTTCAGTAGACAAACTGTCTCCGATGTGTTTCTCGTCTGAAAATTCAGATATATGGAAAAAGTTTGAAACTCAAGTTCAACACTTATTTGGACTAAAGTAACTCTTATTTGGATTATATTAACACTTACTTGCTTTATTTTCACAGGTTTAGCTCTAGCAGTTGGAATAATTTTATATATATCATCCATAAATGATGAAGTAGGATATAGATCGAATACTAACAGAGAAGAAGGAGGGTTTTATTACGAGTATGGTTGGTCCTTCTATTCTGCTGGTTTGTCGTTTGTGATAGCCGAGATGGCGGCTGTAGTGTGCGTTACGTTATATTTAAAGAGAAATGAACGGGTGGAAGATATGATTAAGATTATTCCAGGACTAGAAGATAAGGTTGATTCGGACGTACCTGATGGTGATGGTTTGAACAATCCAACAATTATACTTTGATTCATGTGAGAGAAAAATAACTTGGCTCAGGCCTCGAACACGATATTGTTATGCATTTAAATAATGATACGTAACACAAATCTCAAATTTCAACGTTATCACATATAAACTTCCATGTGAGATCTTCACTTTCATCGATTAAATGCCCCCATACCATGTTAGTTTAACAGAAAATGTGTTCAGTATTACGAAGAAATATGGGTTGCAATGGTTAACCCACCCAATTACTAAAAACTAAGCAAAATGGTAAACTTTTCTTGTTCACCAAAGGGTAACCATAAAACAATTATTCCAATATGTTGTTTTGTGTATTTGACATTTCAAGCCATATTTGAAAATGCATTGGATAGTTGCTCAACTTCGTGAGCTCGAAGTCATCGACAAAATGACAAAACTTGTATAAAATGTGGCCCACGCTTATTATGCTTGACAATTTTGAAATGCAATATCTGTGATATATTTACATAATAGTTGCAATAGTCAGTGGCCTCAATTCTGCTTTAAAAACGATGCTTTGCGTTTCCACCAGTATGGTATAGATAAGATTATGAAGCAGATCAATCAGCTTTGCAAGACATGCATTTTGGTTTTACAGAAACCTTTGCCTAGTCACTACTAATCATTTAAAGCTGCTTCTTTTCTGTGGTTTCCTTGTTTAAAACGTTGATGAACAGAAATATATAACCCTTTTTTACTCTTATAGAAGCACGTTTTTATATAAAATAATGTTTACATAGACAATAAAAACAATTCTTTTTTAGCTTTGTTTATTATCATGTTAATAAAATTTAACATTTTTTCTTAACAAAAATCTGTTTGATAACTATTGCTTTCAGGTCGAAGAAGCTGAGGTAACAATAAACATAACTTCTTGTGCTACAGGCGATGCCATCGTATCGCGAATACGGGTTTTGACATGGTCTTATTAAGCCCGGGGAAGTATGAAGAATGGAGAGTGTGGACACGATGCAGGTGATGCGCGATCCCTCGGCAGCTGAAAATCGAAAATAAGTATTTTTCGGTACAGAAAAAATTGCCTTCGTTCAATGCTCTCATCAGCCTAAATCAGGAGCATAAATCAAAGACAAACCTATACGTAAGAAAACCATCTCCAGACGATGCCGATATCTGCATAACATGGCTGTATAGAACAGGGAAAAAGCAAAACTTGAAGTTCAATATTTCACTTTAAAGTTTTTCTTTAGATGAGTAGATCAAATTCCTTATTTTCAACTTAAAACTTATAATATTGTATAGAAATTAAAAAGCATATTCCAAAGCAACAATTTATATTCATTCTTAGTTTTATAAGACAGTGACTGTTCGTACAACCATCAGTTAAAATGAAGATTTTCTTTTAGACTGAAAAATTGTCAAATTGACAAAACTGGTTGGAATCAAACCATTGAAGTGGTAACGATTTGACTGTCAACATGTAGTAAAAACAGACAAGAGAAATCAATACAAGTTGACGGGTAATGAGTTTTAATGGATCTGTTCTTCACATTAGCCACACTATTCTTTTCTTTTATTCATGGAAATAGATTCTAGTCTGTGAGACTCATTTGCATTTAGTAATGCTCAGAATGCAATAATGGTCCATGAACTCTAATTGCCATCACCACCTGCAGAATATATTTTCGTAATTTTTCCTGAATTTCTCGCTTGACGGATTTGTAGTAAAGCTCTAGAGAAGATAGCAGACGTAGATATAATAATAATAATAATAATAATAATAATACTTTATTTGACAGGAAAACCAGTTTGCCACAGGAAAACCTTCCCTAGTATCCTCCTAAACATATAATAATAATCATAAAATACACACATACAATAATTATAAAATACACACATACAATAATCATACAATACACACATATAATAATTATAAAATACACACATATAATAATTATAAAATACACACATACAACAATCATAAAATACACACATATAATAATTACAAAATACACATATATAATAATTATAAAATACACACATATAATAATTATAAAATACACACATATAACAATTATAAAATACATACATACAAAAAATGAAAGCTACACACGTACAAAATGGCAACCATTTAGTGAAAGTCTCTGCAATTTGCATCTGTTTGTACAACTTAATGTAAGTTTCTGCTATTTGCATCTGTGTGTACAACTTAATGTAAGTTTCTGCTATTTGCATCTTGGTGTACAACTTAATGTAAGCTTCTGCTATCTGCATCTGTTTGTACAACTTAATGTAAGCCCTGGCTATTTGCATCAGCGTGTACAACTCAATGGAAGCCTCTGCCATTTGCATCTATGCGTGCTGTCCATGACAAGGGTACACATTTATCTGATCGTGTCAAAATCATCTGATGGGGTCAGATTTTTTTAAAATGTGAATGCCCAGAGTAATTTTAAGCTTTTGATGGCCCTCGATATCTTTTGCTTTTAATCGGTGTACTGTATAACACCACTTTGAGCCCTAGATGTAAAATTTGACCATTTGAAACATTCTTCGCCAAAAACAATGTGTATACTGTATTTTTGCATGAAAGTGAATAAAGGGAGATAAATCAAATGAATTGAACAATCAACAATCAGACAGATCTCTTGAGAGTCAATATAATCCAGACGTTTAAAGAAGGGCGAATAAAAAATAATAAAAGAGGATATTGCATAGCAAATCGAAATTAAACATAATTATACGTACTTACACCTCTCTGAGTTTATGTGCAACAATTAATGCAAATTAGTTAGGACTAAACAAAGAGCATGTTAAATCAATTTCAAGACTTTTCATATTATGTCGTTTAGATTTACATGACAGCAACTCTTGCAGCGTTATATTTGATCTTTTGATTGATTAGAAGGAACTCTCCCGGCAAGAATTCAATTGACACTTGTCGAATCTATTTTAATGCACCAGCTGATATGCTTGTTATCTTTCGAAAGCAATAATGAACCTAGCAATTGGGGGCAAAAAAGTCGTAAATGATGCGTGGATAATCGGCAAATTGTCTTAATAATTTGGATATTAGAAATGATTTGGAATCAATTTTGTGGAATCGATGATTATCTTGTCCTCTGTAGAAATGATCTGCCAATATTTCATACTATTCTCAGTCAATTTATATCTCCTGGATATCTAAGTTCTAACAATCCGAACCACAAAACGAAACCCAAAATCCATAACAACATTTTGACATTGGTAGCAGTTTATAACTTTTCAGTTGAGGAAGTATATCAATCATAAGTGAGTAAGTACTTTAATAATGAAAAGTGGTATAAGGGGACTTGAACAATTTGAATTCATCAATTCAGACACTGGCAGATAAATAATGATAAGTGATTAACTCCCTTTCCTTGTCAGCAGCTGAAAGACAACATAAGAAAGAGCATATAATTAAAGAAAGCTTCCCAAACAGGATAGCATACGCCCACCTGCAGCTTTATTTAAATAAATGCAGATGACAAAAAGATAACACTCACCAGCAAGGAATATTAAACAGGATTATACACTTAAAGTCGACCGAAGGCAGATCAAATCGTTTTTACAAGATAATTAACTGTTTTACCCGGTCTAAATTCGTCCATTATTGTTCCTTATCGAGTGTGTTTTTGAGCTAAAAAATAAAAGCGTTTCAAAGCAAATACTGCCTTATATTTTGGTTCATCTTAAGTTCATAATAAACAATTTTACGAAGTGTTGTCAATATCCTTCAGAAATTGAGCCATGAAGAGTGATAACAAGTTTGAAGTCGAACTCGATTTGAAGAATAAGGGCAATAACTCATATTAAATATATCAAACACGAAAAAAATACTACATGACTGGCTTTTTAAATCATTCAACTAGGTCGGTGACTTTCGCATTATTAGAATCGATTGACTTTCAACAAAATCTTATCAATTGTCGGCTACAATCGAAACATCACTATTCAGACGCTATAATATTGCTTGTCAGTATGTACAAAGCAAATTTGGTCAACGATGGTACTACTGAAAAGAGAATAGATTTCTAGATCAGTATTAAGATAATGAGGCATTATTGCATATTCCAGAGGAAATTGATATAGGAAAACTGGTTTTGACGTTGAAACTGAAGTAGAGCAATTGTCGTGATGATCTATAAATTCAATATGCATTGTTAGAATATAACCTAGGGTTATTTGGGGGTTGATTTGGGTTTTGGATATAAGTAATTAGTCCTCAGAAGTTCTATGGCATAATTCCTTTAAAAAATACTTGAAACTAGAATTTTTACTCAATATTTCTATATATCTGTTTTCTATACAACACAGAGTATCTTGAATTGACGGGTCATCATTTTAACATTCAAACGCGGATTATTTCTCCACAAACATGGCACAAAACAAAATGGTGATCTGTGAAGACTATTACTGATTGGCTTAGCAAAAGAATCTCGTTTCTGACACTTAGGTACGATTAGTCAAAAAAAAGGAGCAACTGTCCCTTTAAGAATCTAGACTAGTTGGCCTTATACTATTTCATTTGCATTTGCATCCAGTTATGAAAATAAGTTGATTCACGAATAGTCGCGAATAACCCAGTTCAAGAAAATTTCCATGAACAATGATGTTAAATTCTATAATATGTGTAGATCTAGGTCAATAATGTCTGAATTATGTGACTGATAATTCGACAAGTTACGCTAATATAAGTCTATGGATTACTAGGATTAAATTTCTTCTGGAATAAGTAATTGGGTTAAATGTACCACGAGCAGAGATTCGTTAGACTTTTCAATATTCTGACGAACGATGGTATAAAATTGATGCTAAGCTCTTAGAATAGTTAAGTATCTGATTTGTTACTTCCTTTTTCGGATGTAAATTGTAGTCATTCGGTGACATTTCCAAATTTAGAATAATATGGTTTTCGTGGTCTGGAACTGGAAGTAACAATTAACGGGATAAATTCCTTTCCTAATATACGTTCATGTTTTACTTTGGTGCAAATCTGAACGGGGAAGTTGATATCAGATATA